GAGTCACAGATCTTCATGTGATGCAAAATCCGAGCATGGATAAAGGGGCCGGCGGGTGTCAGGGAAGCTCACCTGGGGCCCACAGGGGCAGCCGCCGGCGGTGTTGGTCCTGGACATGGTGCAGAGCTGGTAAGGAAACCTGCGACAGAGTTTGACTGAGACATGCAAGAGAGAGGGAGGATTCTCGTGAGGGTGGATCATGAGTGAGGTCAAGGGTCATATCACCCACAGAGGACTCTGCAGCCAGCCAATCTCTAAGCTGCCGTCATTGGGTGACCTCGAGAGAACCCTAGGCCAGCAGCCTCAGTGACTTCACCTGTAGACTGGCCACCCTAGCTTGTTCCTACAGGACCCACATTCCCGCCAGGCAGCATGCCAAGGAGGGCGGGTGCTTCCTGTCCCTTATAAATTCCTTTTTTTCCTCCCAATAATCCGGGGGAGCATATTCTAAAATTACTTCTTTCCCTGCCCTCCTTTCCCAAGTCCAACATGAACAGCTAGAAGGCAGTTCCTCCCTGGTCCCAAGCTCCAGCAGAGAGCAGCTCACAAGAGCCTGTTCCATCTTCTCACGTCTGGGGAGCTCCGAGCCAGAGGTCAAGAGCTTCCCTCTGTGAAGGCAGAGAACATGACTGCGTCCCCATGTGTCCAGTTTACCTCTTCTGCAGGGACCCAGGGAGGATTACTTGAAGTCCAGCATTATCTCATGAGCAGATGGGTTGCGGGCCACTTCTGGGTAGCTAAGGCACTATCTCTTCCTTTCCCTGCCAAAGAGGTGCATGCGTATAAGACTGAAGTCCTCCATACTGTCAATTTAAAGGGCAAAGGACAGGTTCCCTGGAGTCACCCAAACTCACCATGAAATTTGTGAGGACAAAAAACAAGTATTGGCTTTGCTAGATCACTAAGATGTGGGGAGTTTTTTGTTACTGAAGCCTAACCTGACCCATCCTGTCTAAAACAACCAACCCTCTCTCCTCTAGGCCCTGGGTACTCCCACTGCAGCTTCTAGTCTCCCACATAGGAGGGCTGATGCTTGTGGCCAGTAAGGGTCCCAGGTGGTCTGGGCTGGGCCCCTAAGTGGACACCACAAGACGAGAGTACTGGGAGGATGCCGATCATCTTGACTTCCTCCTTGACCCTTGGCCCTTGAAAGCTGCTGAGTCAAGTACTAATTATGGCTTGGCTTTTCCCATGCACTTTTTGTGGAGGGTCAGGACGTTTCCCCTGGGCCATGCCTGGTTTTGAAGCTATTTCCCCTTTTGTTAGGAACAGAGAGAATAGAAAGCCCTGGTGAGTGGTGCGCTGAGGCACTGGCTTCCATGATGGAAGACTGGAGCCCGGGCGTGGGAGGAGTCTATTAGCATATCCCCGCCCCCTGACCACAGTGACTGGTTGAGAGATGGACATGGGAACCCATCTGTCCAATCATAATGGGTCTCGAGTCTTTGGGGGCAGTGCTCATATTAAGACACGCCCAGTCCAGGCTGGGTGGAAAGCAGGTGGTGGTGAGCCCCGCAGAAACCCAGGTGGCCCTGAAGAGACCAGACTTGGGAACCGGGCTGACATCCAGGAGAAGATGGATGAAAGGAAATGAGTGAGACAGGGGAAAGCTCCAACTTTTCTCTTCCTTGAGACCCTTCCTTTTTGTGCTAATTTGAGTCGGGTTTCCAGTTCCTGGCAACCCTAATTGTCCTCACTGAGGTAACAGTTGTAAATCAAGGGACTCGGTCAACTCCTTCTCCTCTCAGTGCCCTAGACTTGGAGACCGGGGACCCTGTCCCAGACGTGGAGAGGTAGAGGCCGTGTCCAGGTTCCCCCAGGAAGCCGCGGGCTGCTGACTGCCCGGCAGAGGTTCCAGCTGGACGGGAGCTGGCTGTAGAGGAGGGCTCCCGGCGCCGGCTGCCTGCAGCATGAATGTATGCAGATTTATTCCGAGGAGCTCTGCATGGCGGGGCGGATACAGGCCAGTGCAGGGATCCATCCAGTCTCAGCGACCTTGCTCTGACAGGGCGCCCCTGGAGAGGCCGCGAGCCCTTCCTTCTCTCTCTCGGCTTTCGCTCCCACTGGGGGTCCCAGCGGCCCACTCCAAAGCCCATCCTGGGCCCGCCCCTTCTCCAGCCCGGCACCAAGCCCCGGCCCCGGGCCTCCCCGAGCTATTCCCCCAGCCTCTGCCCCCACCACCACCACGTTGTCCTCTGTGTGGTGAAGCTTCCTAAGGTGCCAACTGGATGGGGCCAGAGCCTTCCGGTGACGTGCTGTCCCCTCCAAGACAGAACATGAGCTGTTCTCAAAGCCTTGAGGTCTGTTGCAACCGAGGGCCTCCTTCCTGCCCCCCACAACGGTGCTGCCGCCCGCCCCACTTTTCCATGACCACCTGTTAGATCCGCAGGTCACCCACCCACTTCTCCCCAGGTCCCTGCCACAGAGCCGTTATGATTTTTCTTATCTCTCTTTTTATGGATGAAGACACTAAGGGCTGGTGAGATAAGTTTGCCTGTGGTTCCCCACTAGAGGCAGTGGGCTGACTGGGTCCCTGTGATCCAAGCAGCCAACGTCCCACACGCAGGCTGCATTTGGGGGGCGAGTGAGGCTTTTTAAAGCACTGTTTTATGCATTAAGTAACGTGAGCTTCACCATGGACCTGGTGGCCCCCTCTCTGCATGAGTGCCAGCTCCGTTTCCTGGTCGTTTCTAGCACTGGGTCCAAAGGCTTATATTGCTATGTTTTGGGTGAATGGATGGACGGATGGAATGGATGGATGGATGGATGGAATGGATGGATGGATGGATGGATGGATGGAATGGATGGATGGATGGATAGATGGAATAGATGGATGGATGGATGGATGGATGGGTGGATGGATGGAATGGATGGATGGATGGATGGATGGAATGGATGGATGGATGGATAGAATGGATGGATGGATGGATGG